TTAGAAAAACGTTCCCTTTGCCTCCAGATCCTTTGTTTGTGACTTTGATACACTCCTTCCAAATGTTTTGAATAGCATGGTTTTAGCCACAAAGAAGAAAGTTGATTCATCTGAAGAGGAGTTCTGGGCTAACACGTAAAGTTTGACTGAAACTGGAAGGAGGTTCCACAGATAAATCACTTCAGTGCATTTTCCAGGGAAGGGAGTCTGCCTAGCATACGATTCCAATAAAACGTCTCCAATTTTGCCTCGTCTGTCAAGCGTGCCATCAGTTATCAGGCATTACAGATGGCGGCCTGTGTTGTGGATTCTAGATTGGCTGCTTCAGAATCATGTAGGGCAACTGTTTGGTCATATGGATGCCTGAGATTCGCTCCAAGAATTTCTCATTTAGTAAGTTTGAGGTGAAGCTAGGTTCCTGCCCTCTTCAAGATTCCCGGGTGATCATCAGGACATACCCCAACCCATTCAAAGATTGTTCAGAGTTCAAGAAAAATGGATATTTGCCTTTCACCAAAACTAACTGCTGTGTCTTCCCTGTCTGAATTGTGTGGGAATGACTGCTGTGTGCCGAGTGTGGGGAGGCAGCTGTGGGAGGAGATGCGGTGGCTCCTTGGAGCTCAGACCCTGACCCAAGTTCAGAGACAAGCTAGGCCTCGCGTGCAGTTGATCTCAGAGGTGTTATGGGAATACATGTTGGCACATTTAAAGTGGGGAACGTTTAGCAAAGGCAAGTTGGAGGATTTACACGTCCTCAAATAAGTTTTAGATGTTGACATGGGCAATAATAATATGAAATTTATTATTATTATTTTATTTATTTATTTATTTATTTTTGCCTTTCTAAACTGTGGAGTGTTCTCTTTTTAATTTCTAAGCTTGATCTGGAACCAGGGGGAATTAAATCTTCATTTATAGCTGCTCCTTCTTCGCTTCAGGGCCAGAGTCTGGTTGCGTTCCAAAGCCGGGAGAGATTATGGCTCCCACAAGCCAGGCTGCTTGTTAGTAAATACATTTGAGCGAGTGGACGCTGTTCCAGAGGATCAGTGTTTATATTTCACCAGACGAATCATTTAGGGGGAGAAAGCCTGCCTGTTAAAAAGCAGGCCTGATGTGACTAATGGCAGTTCTGGCCCCAGCCTGGACAGTGGGAGCTCACAGAGGCCAACCTGGCTCACTTCCGGCTCCCTCCCAGCTTGGCAGGTTTCTTAAGCGTTTCCAACTGAGGATTCTGGTACAAAAATGCTGAAAACCCTCAAGTCCAGCGGTATGTTTATAAAAGTCACGGGGGCCCCGGTCCTGCCCAAGAGAGGTCAAGGAAATGCATTTGTCTAACCTCGACCAGAGATCTCTATTTGATTTAATCTACATCCGTAGCAATTCTACAGCTAAATAAGAAGCCATTTGTTATGAAAGTGAGGAGTGCATTTCTGACTGGGACCCAGGCAGCTCTAGCTTTGTTGTCTCTCCATGTCTCCCTTTTCAAGGATGGTGACTGAAGGTTTTGGCCTAACTTTCTTCCCCAGGGAGGATTTATATGTGTCACTGCATCATGAGGGGGAAATTAAGCAAGACATGACCCATGAGTGGATGGTTTGTATGTGGATGGCAGTGTGGACACCATAGCCATAGCTTCACTGGATGGATCCCCACAGAAACTCCTGGGGGATCAGGAGCAAGTGGAAAGGAAGAGCTGGTATGGGACCTAGAGTCTTTAAGAGCTTGGGAGGGGATCCCATGGCCAAGGACACGTTTAAAGCATGTTCCAAGGCCAAGAGAGCCTGTGGACTCTGGGTTCCCCATGTGGTTGCCTGCAGGGAGTGCTTCTAGGCAAAGAAGAAGATAGGGCTAGAGAGACTGACCGGTTCCAGGTGTGGCTGCACCTGAGAGGTGGGCGAGCTCTGTGTTCTCTCCAGATAACCTCATCAGACCATTGACTTTAGAAACCTTATCTTTACCACTGAACTTTATTTTTTTTTAAGATTTTTTTATTTATTTATTTGACAGACAGAGATCACAAGTAGGCAGAGAGGCAGGCAGAGAGAGAGGAGGAAGCAGGCTTCCTGCTGAGCAGAGAGCCAGATGTGGGGATCTATCCCAAGACCCTGAGATCATGACCTGAGCCGAAGGCAGAGGCTTAACCCTCTGAGCCACCCAGGTGCTCCCACCACTGAACTTTAGATAGACCTCCCCAGTCTCCACCTCCCTCCGGCCCTCCAGATTCCTGTGCTGGTTGCCCTTTTAACATCTCTAACAAGAAAGCCCGAAGGGCATCTCAGAACTGAATTCCCCAACCCTCTTCACCCTTGCTTATCCCCATCTCCTCAATAACGACAAAAATACAGGAACTGTCTTTGATTCTCCTCTGTCCCTCCACCCTCCACATCAAATTTATTAATGAGTTCTGCTGAATTTAAGACAAAAGGCAAAGACGCGATCCTCTTCTCAGCTCCTTGAGCTCCTGTCTCCCCCTCGACCACAGCAATAGCCTCCTAGCTGTGGTCTTCGTTGGCATCACCATGTGAAATAGGCCACGTCATAGCCCTTACTATGTGGAGTGATTGGTGATGAAACTCCTGTTAGAGTGAGTTCAACAGAAATGAGGCCTAGGGGAAGTGATGCCATGTTTTTAGGCAACTCTTGGAGAGTCACTTTGAGAGGCAAATGTGGATTGGAAGAGGTGTGGGTTGGAGATGGTGAGGCATGTTTTGTTTGTTGATGGGGAGATATGGGAGAAAGGGAGCATGAGGTAATGCAGGGGTGAGGGGAGGATGGCTGGGAGCATCCTTTTCTCTGGTGTCTCAGGGGGTGCAGCTTCTCCATAGTCACAGGACAGGGGTAGGGAGCCAAGTACCTGCTGTGCAGGTGAGTTTTAGGTTGACAGGCTGATGTGCCAGCTGATTTCCCCCGCACAACAGGATGACACATAAACCCAGAGAAGGGTTAGCCCCCCTTCTCTCAGTGAAGTAGGAAGTGGGCTCATCAGCTGACAATGGGGAGAGTGAATTGGTGGAAGAGGAAGTATGTCCGGGAACATGTGCCTTCTTTCTGAACATAGGGAGCCTTTCTTTGACCATTTCTCTTTGACCTTTCTCTTCCCTCCATCTGGAATGTTCTTAATGAAGATTTTCACGTGGCTGGTTACTTTGTGACATTCAGATCTTGGCTTAAATGTCACCTCCTCAGAGAGGCTCTCCCTGACCTCGGAATCTATAATAGCCCCCCCTGCCACTCACAGTCACCTCACCCTATTTTAATTCTCTGATTAGCATTTGTTACTGTGAGATAGCTTGTTAGTTTTCTACTTGCCTACATGTTTATCACTGCATCTCTTACGAGATATTAGCATATGCTAGGCCCTGACCATATAGAGAAATCTTCATGAATATGCTTGAGACATTCCTTTTTCTTCAGGAAAAAAATGTGTCATGATGTAATACAGTAGAACCTGTTTTGGGTATATAGACTGGAATGGGCCCGAGATTAAATCTGTGTATTTGGTGTCCAGGGTAAATGTGCTTTCTGTACCCTTCGCTTCAGCAACAGACAGCTTATGTTATGAGTGGCCTGTACCCTTCTAGGCAAAGAGAAGAGCTCTGAGTTCTCAAGGCCGCTCAGGACTACCTTGAACTTCATACCACCCTCCGAATGCTGGCTTCCTTTAGTGTGCATGGGCATAGTAAGAGGTTCAGTTGCCACTGGTGAATATTCTTTAAATACCTGAACTAGGGGCTCTTGGGTAGCTCAGTCAATTAAGCATCTGCCTTTGGCTCAGGCTATGATCCCAGGGTCCTGGGATCGAGCCCCGCATCGGGCTCCCTGCTCAGCTGGAAGCCCGCTTCCCCCTCTCCCACTCCCCCTGCTTGTGTTCCCTCTCTTGCTGCGTCTCTTTCTCAGTCAAATAAATAAATAAAAAATCTTTAAATATCTGAACTAAATGTATCAAGAAAAAAAACCTTTAAAATAGGAAAATGGAGAGGCTGGGCTGGGAAAAAAAAAAAAAAAAGAACCTTTAAAATGGGAAAAACGGAGAGGATGGGCTGTACTCTTTAAGCCTTAAAGAGATGTCTGAACTGGACGTAAAAAACCTTTTGTTTCTGCAGCCAGTACAGTCTTTTCAACTGGGATTAAGAGAAGACTGCCAGCCTATGGCAAATGCAAACAAAACCTCATACATCTGAAACAACCTTTTGTCTTAAAATGATGGCTTATATTTCTAACAATTAAAAAATTCAAGCCTTCTAGGGAAAGACTGTTCTTAGCCAAAAAAAAATTCTATGTATTCTCTAAAAACAAAACAGTCAAAAACACCTTGTATACCCAGTTTAAAATAATGCATAGAAATATGTGTATATTCTGCCCATGAGTTCTTCCCTAAATCTCTGATGATCGTACTGAGGGGCTGAATCATTTAGGATCGAACGAGTATATCATTCTCTGAAAGGATAAAATAAGAAGTGACTGTATCTAGTCAAGTAAACCCAGGACCAAACCCAGGACCACTCACGCTCCCGTTGTCAGGAAACACTAGGATAGTGGACAGAATTGACTTCAGAAAGAAAAAGGGTTTCATAAGCAAGAGTTGGACTCACCATTTTGGTTAAAGCCATGGATATTCTCCTCACACTACCTATCAGCTTAGTGGCAAACTGTAAATGTGAGGAACCAAACTCAGACTGATGAAAGTTAAGATCTTGAGAGATGTGTCTGTTTCTTCTGCCTGTAAAAAAAACGAGTTCCTGTGGCTCAGACAACACACTGTTCAGGGTTCTATGATGGGTGATGTTTCTTGTTTACTTCTTCGGGAAAGATCCAAGGGACTTGGGCTTCCACAAGGAACTGTCAGAGACCTGGAGGGGGACGTAAGTGGTTGTCTGCATTTTTCTGCTGGTTTGTGAAGTTCACCTCACTGACTGACCCACAAATTACAAACCATGTAATCTGCTGGGCGGGGAGGCAGAGGTCTGGACTGCAATATTTTCTGTTTCTCCTTTATTTAGGCTGGAGGGGAAAAATTAGATGCGGAAGAGGCGCTGATCTACGAAGAGGATTTGGATGAAGGGGACGGTGTCGAAGGTGACGTGGAAGAGAGCACAAAGTTAAAAATGTTCCGCAGACTCGCCTCAGTGGCCTCCAAGCTTAAAGAGTTTATTGGCAACATGATCACCACCGCGGGAAAGGTCGTGGTGACGATTTTACTCGGTTCGTCAGGTGAGCGTTTCTGGCACTGGATGAAGCCCAGGTCGTGCTTTGGTGAATAATGAAGGACATGGCTGAGGAGAAAATGCAGAAAGAAGCAATTCTGGTTTGTGATACCAAACTCATAACCGTACCTGCTGGAAAACTGGCCACATGTACACACACACACACACACACACACACACACAGAGAAGTCATTTATCTGGTTCATTTCTAGCATTTGTGTTTTCAGTTGGTTTCTGTCAACCTCCGTAAAGCCATCTTTTCCTATATCTTAAGTGATTTATGTTTTAGGTGTAGATCCAAAAAACCACTACTCTTCCTCTCCCCACAGCCCATGAAGGGCAATGGGCTCTGATGAACCATGTTGGTGTGTCGTCGCCCGCCCCCTCCCCCGCCATCCAGAGCCACATGTGTGCCTTCTGAAAGCATGTCTGTTTACACTGGGCCATTAGCAATCATAATTTAACTCTCCAGGATATACTATTTTTCTTCCTCAGATTGTAATCTTGCAGCACGGACACTCACTTCCTTGAAATCTTGGCTGCCGACCGCTTGTTCCATAATAATGTTATCTCCATCTTCTCCCTCCTTCCATCGCGCTGTTGGCAGCTGCTCTAGAGCCGCTGTGAAGTTCAGTCCATACCTCTTCGTGGAAGTTTCATAAGATGAAATAACGTGAGGAAAATTAAAAAGTGGGAAAGAGAATAGAATTCCTCAAGAAGTATATCGCAATATTTTAACAAAGAGTCATTTCAAGATGCCCCATCCCCCGCCCAGCAAAAGTTTTTAAACGCCTGCCAAAGAATTACCTCACTTTACGTGTCCCCTTTTGCTAATAGTGCAATCCCAATATGGTTGGGTAGGGCAAAGTTTTAGTGAGACTTTGCCATAGATGTAATATTGTTATGAATCCTACTTAACCAAAAAAAAAGTGAGTTATTATAAAAAATGATATCAGGGAAAGTTGGAATAGACACACAAGTATTCCTGAAAAATTAGAGGGAAAAGTAGAAAGATGGAAGCAAGCAAGCAAATATGCTAAATTCTATTTATATGAAAAATAGATATTTACTCTGCTCAAACATCATGGGAAGAACTTCATGATCTTATGTTTTTACTTATATTTACAAATATCATTTTATGTCTGAATTTGTTTCACAACAAAAATAGTATAAGTTCTGATTTTATAAATAAAATGTGGTTCATACTTCAATAACTTGATCCATCCCTGGAAACACACAAAGGAAATGTACAAAATCTCCCAAGAGTTACATTTCCTGAGTGGTAAATGCTTTTCCGGTTCTGTGCAATGAGTCTTAATGATATCTCTTCTTCCTCAGGTATGATGTTGCCATCTTTGACCTCATCTGTATACTTCTTTGTATTTTTGGGTCTGTGCACCTGGTGGTCCTGGTGCCGAACGTTCGATCCATTGCTGTTCAGCTGTCTCTGTGTTCTGCTGGCTATTTTCACTGCGGGACACTTGATTGGACTTTATTTATACCAGTTCCAGTTCTTTCAAGAAGCGGTTCCACCCAATGACTACTATGCAAGGTAAGAGAAATGGTGAAGACATTTCAAGAGGAGCTAGCCTTTCTTCATGATCTTGTTTGAATTTGCAGGGGTTCTCAGTGCCATTTGATGTGCTCAGCAAAGGTTTGGCTGGGGGTGGGAGGAAGCAATCCAGGGTTTTCAAGTTATTGAATGACAAAGTCTAGAAGGAAGTAGAAGATTTCTTCAGTGGAGGTGCTGCTAGGACATGGAGAGAGGAGAGGCTGCTGTTTGGTCTCAGCTGTGGAAAGAGATCCCAGAAGAACATTTTACATCAAAGAATAAAAAGACGTGCTAAAGAATCCAGCTGAAGGATGCTCTCACAGGCCAAACAGAGCATCAAATATCATATTGAGTTGATTGTAAAAATATGAAAATAAAAATGTATGAATTCATGCATTTTTCTCTCATGCATTTCTCTCTCTCGAGAGAGAGCTAATTTGCTTCAGTTGAAGATGACTGTTACTTACTTTGGAAAATGGGAATTAAATCCTTACTTTGGAAGATGGGAATTAAAGGTAAAGGATCCAGCATTGACTTTGACTTTTTAGAAGGAACCCTAGGCAATTCTCAGTTGGTGAGACAAAACCCACCTTTATAGGATAATGCCAGCTAATGAAAAGGGAAGGAATAATAAATTAGAAAATTACTATTTCTCAGTTCTTAATGAAATATTGATTCTCATAGCAAACTGACACCATTACTTGAAAAGGTTGTTGGGCTAAAAGATGTTTGCAGAACGACAAGATACAACCTCACTGATTATTTGCCAGTGGCAAAGGGAAAAATCAAACCTTTGTAATGGTGATCAATACCACAACAAGCTGATCAGACTCTTACTACCCAAAGTGGGATAGCTCAATATGAAGTATACAGCATCATAGTGTTAAACTTTTAGACCTAAGCCCCAATTTACGGTAACATATAAAGGATAGAAAAATAATGACAATCAGAGAAATCCAGAATGTGAATTCTGCAAGGCAAATGACCCAATCTCCTAAAAACTCAACATCATGAAAAGAAGTGTTTGTAGTGGCAGAGAGGGGAGAGACTGTCCTAGATCAAAGGAGAACTGGGGAAACCCAGCAAACTGATGAGAAGCCTGACTTTAGATTACATTCCTGTTCAACCACAGGTCTCTGAAAGATATTCTGAGGTTAAATGGGGGAAATTTCAATGTTCATTGGTTATTAGCTGGTTGTATAGACTCATTAATTCTCAGGTGCATGATTGTTGTATAGGAAAATGTATGATTGGCATCGGGTTATCCATTGTCCTGTTTTAACTTTCTTTTTCCGTGGAAAAGTTTATAACCGGAAGTTACAGAAAAAATGAAGGGGGACAGAAATGATGGGAGAGAATGTGAGGGGGATGAAAGGAGTGCCAGCAGCCTTGTCTTTGATGTGTCTGGGAAGTGGTGTAGGAGCTTTTTGTCCTCTTGTTGAGAAATGAGAAACCTGCAGTTTAAATAACATGAGTGAATATCATCCTGATGATACAGATTTGGTTTTCATGGAATAGTAAATATGAACCAGCAATGTGTGTGGGGACCCCCTCACCTTGCTTTTCTTGATTCATGCATAAAATCTGTCTGGTCTGTAGCTGTGACTACACAATGCTAGGGGGAAAAAAAATCAAGTTCTAAAAACAAACAAGTTAGTTCTCTACACACTTACAAGCCAACTAATTCTAAACCCAGTTGGCATAACCTACAGGCTTAGCAAGTATAATTCAGTCTATAAAGAGAAGAATCTTATAGGCAAGTTACAACTGAAGAAGCACAGCATGGAAACAAGCTAAGTGCCCACTGACAGACGAATGATAAAAAAGCTGTAGTATATATGTACATACATACATATATTTGTATATAAACATAATGAAATATTATTCAGCCTTAAAAAGGAAGGAAATCTTGCCTTTTCATCATGGCAACATGATGAAACTTGGGGGCATTATGTTAATGAAACAAGTCAGACAGACTTGTCCGCTTATATATGGAATCTAAACTAAAGAGTCAACTCATAGAGACAGAGTAGGAGAGTGGTTGGGGGTGTGTGTGTGTGTGACATGTTGGGAAGAAGGAAGACAGGCTGATAAAAGGATATAAACTCACTTATGAGGTGAATAGATTATGAAGGTCTAATGTGTAGCAGGCTCACTATAGCTAATAGTATTGTATTGTATATTGCATCCTTGAAATTTGCTAAGAGAATAGATCCTAAGCATTTTCATCAAAAAAAAAAAAGTAATTATGTGAGGTCATTGATGTATTAATTAACTTGGTTGAAGTAATCATTTCACAATGTACACTTATACCAAATCATCACATTGTACACTTTAAATTTATTACAGTTTAATGTGTTGGTGATACCTGAGAAGCCTCTTTAATGGTGTAGATTTATATAATATTTATATATTTAAGACAGGAGCGAATAAATGCTAAATTTCAGTACAGACAATAGTTCTAGACTAAATGAATCCTTTGTTTCTTTTAGATGTTTAATTTTTGGTTTATAGAACATGCATAGAAAAAATATCTTGTGCTGTTGGAAGGGCTGACTTTTAGGGGGTGATTTAATTGGGAATGTAAATATCTTCTATAACCTGATTACCACCCCCCCGCCCCGTTTAAGGATCTTTTCTGCCATCTAGAGACTGATGATGGGAAATACAGACAATATTCAGAACCACCTTGGAAACACTTTTTGTATCAAAGATCAACTAATAGGGGTGCCTGGGTGGCTCAGTGGGTTAAAGCCTCTGCCTTCGGCTCGGGTCATGATCCCAGGGTTCTGGGATCGAGCCCCGCATCGGGTTCTCTGCTCAGCAGGAAGCCTGCTTTCCCATCTCTCTCTGCCTGCCTCTCTGCCTACTTGTGATCTCTCTCTTTCTCTGTCAAATAAATAAATAAATAATCTTAAAAAAAAAAAGATCAACTAATAAGTATTTTAGACTTTGTCACAGTTCTTTTCAGAAGCATTTGTAATGCAAAAAGCCACCACAGGCAGACTTAAAAGAATAGCACAGTTCTCTTCTAGTAAAACTTTGTGCACACTGAAATTTGAATTTCATATTATTTTCACATTTCGCAAATAATATTTTTGTTTTGATTTTTTCCAGTCACTCAAAAATATAAAAGCAAACAAAACAAAAAATGTGAAAACCATGGTTAGCTCATAAGCTGTACCCAAGCAAGTGATAAACAAATCTTGCCTACCTATGGTGTAGGTAATAATAGTCCTAATGGGGTAATAAATAGCATATTTACTGTTCACTTGATCATCACAAAAAATTATAATTATAATTTATTGCATGTAATAATAATCACATTACATGTAATTATAATTACATTTTGTAGATCATCCATTTAAATAGTTTAAAAGGTCCATTACTATCATCTCAAGAGATAAGTCATTAAAGGTTAATTTGCTTATTAGGGTATAACAGTTTGAGCTAAACAATGAAATATGAATGTAAATATAAATACATGGTCTTATTGTAGATTCCCATCCTCCCCCCACTCACTTGATTATAATAAGACATTGCATCTTAGTCCTAGAAAGCTTGGAAATCAACATATCTAAAGTAATAGTTTTTCAAAAGGCATAATTTCAATGCATGTTATTAACCCCAGATTCTGAGTCAGAAGAAAGCAAACTGGAAAGTGATTTAAAAAAAAAAAAAACTCATCTTCCGTGGCGTTTGTCAAAAATTTCATAACCACAGAGACTCTAGCACGTATATCCAGCTTCGGATGTGGCTGTTCTTAAAACAATCCAAGCCATATTTGTCTTCTCAAAAGCTTTCAAACATGCTCTCCGGTCAGAATTATCTTTATTTTTAGAAAAACTGAATTGATTTTTTTATCATTAGTCTAATACATATTTGTTGATGATTATTTGGAAAAGTATAATAGAAGGTGAGGAGAATCACCTTTTAAAAATGTAATCCTAACCTCCAGAAATAAATACTATTTATTTCTGAGTCTGTATTCTTCCAGAATTTTTCCTAAGCATATATGTGCCTTTTGAAAACAAATTTTGAATCATAAGGCACATACTGTTTTCTAAGGGTTGATCAATCCAAATAGAAGTTCAGAGCAAATCCACATAGTTGTATGTAAGATCGCAAAGGTACCAGCCAACGTAGTCTGTTTAATAGGATAGAGCCCTATGACAACTGCTATTCTAAAATGTCCCTAACAAAAATGGTGAACTAAACAAAATATGGCTTTGCTAATGCAGTGTGGAATCTCTTCCAAAGGTTTTGTGTTTTCAAGGGGATTTCCATAGACAGCAAACACCTCATATTTTAAAAGCCATGAAGCAAGATTCAAAGTGATTTTCTGCATTAAAATTGCAGGTGTGCAGGGAAGGGAGGGGGTGAGGGCAGGTGGACCTGATTTGTTCTGCGTTTTCATGGACGACAGCCATCTTGAAAGGCTTTAACATGAGTTCGAATGCTATCAACTTCTACTTATTGGTGGCGTGAATTAAAAGCCCATTGTAATAGTTTGGCAGCATACCACTGACTAGGTTTCCTTGTGAAGGTGATACCGAAAGTAATTTTGAGTTGAACCCCTCGAAAAACAATCCCGACAAGAAGTGAGTTCTTAGCCTATTAATCTTGAGTTATCTTGACAAAACAGGTAAAAGTTCCAATGTAGGCCAGGGGGGAAGATGTGACAGGAGACTACAATGCCAATTGTTTTCTTAATTATGATGGAGACACTTGGAGCACTGTTAATGGGCATTTTGTGTATGTTGCACAGTGGGATGAGTAAGGTCATTCTTTAAATTGTCTCTTCTGATCTTCAGCTGACTTTCGCTCCAACTCCTGAATGTTCTCAAGAACATTTGCAGGAGTTACTGCGGACATTGAACTTGTTCCTCCAAATTCAATTTCCTCATTTGCTGCCTTCTTCACTTTAAGATGTGGAGCCTGAACATGAAAGGGCAGGAAAGAATGAGAGATTTTTGGACCATTCTCTGTGAAAGGAGGAT